CCACCGCCGGGTCCCTCATGGGGCTCGGCAGTGGAGGTGCAAGGCCGGCGGTGGCGGCCGGGACCGTTGGGGGCGGGGTGTGTGGCCTTATGACACACTTCTGGTGATGTCAGGGGGTGTGGCCTTATGACACACTTCCGGTGATGTCAGGGGGTGTGGCATATGCTAATGAGTTATGCTAATGAGTTCCCCTAGCTCTTTTTCAATGAAACGACCCCTGGATGGTTTGATCCATAGTGGTGCCAGCACAGGGGAAACAAGCCAACTTGGAGGCTCTTTTTCTCTCTTTCAGGACTGCCATGGAGATGTTAAAATGGGGAGGGACAGAGAATTGAGAGCTGAGGAGAGGAAGTGTCTTGCCTCTTTCATGTCTTCATAGAAGAGGTAGAGCATCCTTTGTTCCTTCCTCTTGTCCCACCAGCCTTTGACATGGTCGTACCAGGATCCAAAAGACACTGTGAAGAGAAATTTCCAGATAACAGGTTTCAGATAGCAGTTCTATGAGGGGGGAAGCCTGGATGATTAGACAGGGGCCCATCACGCACACACATCTTACTGCAGATTTTCAGAGCAGTAAACCTTTAATCCTGACTTCGAATTCAGTGCCCACCTTACGCACCATTCTTTTTCCTGCAGGCAGCTACAGTTTTATTCTGCAGGCAGCTACCATTTCAAAAATGCACTTTTCTAAATCAAGGTGAAATGTCACTTGTGATGTGTGGGGGGTGGCGTCCAAAATTTTCTTAAAGATTTACACAGTTGCCCTATTGCAGTAGCATCCAGCAAGCGCCTTCCATTTAAATCCTCATGGTTCAGGTTTTGCGCATGCATTTTAGCCTTAGTTTGCTGAATGAAAGGGAACAGAAAGGAAGGTAGGCAAAGGGGTTAAACCTGATTTTGAAACTGAGAAGACTTTTTTTTGAAGCTGACAAGCAGCTGGGAAGCCCCATTTTCCATATTGCCAAGCACTAGGGGATTCTCTGCTGTGTTATTGGCCACTGTGAAAAGTGGGAAAGAGTAGCACAATCTCATAATATGGGGAAACAGGTTGACTGTACAGTATTCACGGTAGAACTCACTGACACTGGCATTGCAAGCTGTGAACACTGGCAACATTTGTGTGTGTGTGCAAGTGCCAATAAAAAGCTGGCTGCAACTCCACCACACTTTGCACAAGGCTGCAGTTTGTAAGGGGGAGGAGTCCTCTGGCAGAAGTTCTGGAGTAAACTTTTAGTCTTGTGCCACTAAATTTTAAACAATTGGTATTTCCCTCGATGCTCTAGTGCAGCTGCATAGTAACACTAATTTCCTGCCCTTCTTTGCAAATTTGCGTGGTTTTCTCTTTGTCATTTTCCAATTTGATCCTGCACACTGGTTGTGATCTTGGCAGTTTTTTAAAGCCTGTCCTGTGTCGATTGCACTCTGTCCTCCAAATGGATTAATCCCAAATGATTCATAAATTCAGCAGTTTGCAGAAGGTCCATGTGACTCAGCCACCATTTTAATGTTAAGCTTCCAGAGATTGCCAAAATGCCCCCCCACAACTTTGTTCACTAAAGCATTAAGGGGGGAAATGTTTTCAGAGCTTTAGGTTTCCCATCCCAGTGTCTCTTTCTCTTTACATCTCATGTCAATTTCATTTTGCACCCACGATCCCCCCCCTTTATATCATTTGCATGCAGCACTGAAATCTACCTCCCCCCTTTTTTTGCACTGGGGACACTGCCATTTGCCTTCTCTCTGATCCCCCTTTCAAGTCAATACCAGCAGGGAACTAAACATCATGCAACTCCTTTTAAACTTTCCCCGTCATAATTTTTTTTTATTCAGCAATCCGAGACTAGCAATATTCTCATATCGCTAGACTCATGCCACGTGTAAAAAAAATTAAAAATGAGGGGGAAATGGAGCTTGTACACTGATGAAGGGGGGAGGATAGTGGAAGGTGCAGAGAGGGTGGAAAGACCTCAATGTGTGGGCGGGAGAGTGACCTTTGAGGGGTGGCAAAAGGCTGGGGTGGAAATCCAAGGGAATCTGTACACCTTTGAGTTACCTTCTGCTTGGAAGTGAAACAAGGGAAAAAATGGCACAAAAGGACTCTTCAAAAACTCAGGGAAACAGCAACTGGAAAGCAAACTGAACACTGAAGGAAGGAAAATCAATGCAGAACAACAAAGAAAACCTGATGGACGCACATGGTGAAAGCGAGGGAAAACACCCGTGCATAATAGGCCAGGGTCTGCCTAGGCCAAAGGGGCTGGAGATCGGGGATTGGATCTCCAACATTTTAAAAGAAAAAGTTTAAAGCAGCTGCAAAGGTCCTAATCAGATAAGAATCAAAGCTGGGGGAAGTTTTAATACTATTTTCCTGACCTATACAAGCCTCCAAACCGGTTTTTGCTCCACAAGAAAGAAAAAGGTGCTCTTATCTACCTCATGTACATTTCACCCCCACTACCATAGCTGCTTTTAACTTTTAAAAAATGTGGAAGGTCCTGATTACAGATCTTCTACATCTCATCTAGTTTGGCCTCAGAATAAGTCAGATTCATGTGCTCATAAGAGCTCACATCACCTGGCTGAAAACATAAAAGGCATCCATAGATTATCTGTATGTCCATTCCTCCACCACTCCTCCCCGTGGTTCCTTTTAACTTTTTTAAGATGTGGAAGATCCTGACTACATTCTGATTACATCTTTCACATCGTGTCAAGCTGGGCCTTCAGAATAAGGGAGCTTCATGTGGTTCACAGTCTCCAGTCCCTCACAACCTTCACCCTCCCAAGCAAGGAGGAACCTGGATCACTTGTGGACCTTCATTTCACAGGTAAACCAGGTCTGATGAAGCAAACAAGGTGGTAGACATCACACCATTGGTGCTGAGAGTTTCAAACCTTCC